ATGTTATAATTTCTTTAAACTTTTTCAATAAGTAACCAATACTAACACACATGAAATTAATTACACCCAACGGGATGTCTTCACAGCTAAGAAATTAAATCGTTTACGACAAACTGGTTATAACCGCTTTCAATTCATTTTCCAATATGGCCGCGGTGACATTGCAAGATGATTTTCTCGAGTCATTCCTGTGTACATACATAACTGGCTGACAAGAAATAAATTAAAAAGTAATTGTATGTCATCTTATTGTATGGGTTTCTTATAATTAATTATGATACTATTCAATGCAAATAAATAATTCTCGATACAATAAAAAACTAATAATGTAAACTATTTAAGATGAAAACAACTTTTAATTATTTTTATGTTCCATTTAGTTTATGAGGTCGTAAAATGCACGTGACTTTTCTATGCAATTTAAATTAGCTCAGAATGTAAATCAAATATTTATTTCGATAATAAAATTAGTAGTTTTTATTGTTGAATAGTAAATCTTCATTAACATTATCTGTGGAAATTAAACGTTTTTTTTTTACATAAATGCTTTTTTAATAATATTTTTTTAAAATACAAAAGCATTAACTGACATCAGTAGACATTAGATATGTCTTAAACTTAATAGATATGTAGTACAATTGCGGAAAAATCCATCTACCTAAATGTACAATACCTCCTACATTACAACTCATTTTCTTACACCCACTGAAACTAAGTCAACAGTAAAATTACGAAATTCACTCGTCACTCCATCATACTCAATTAACACCTGTAAAAGCCTTCACATACATATAAATATTTATACAAGAATGGTGCGTACATTTGTTCATAAAGTCCGATCTATATTCTTCGTAGGTCTATGCCACTTGAGACTACGAAAGCGAATCTCGATCCCCCAATGTACGCAAGTGGCAACCGCAACGCGTTCAGTATATTTCGTGCGCTTGCGCTCCTCTGTGCTCTACCGAACCCGCGAACTTTACGGAAACGTTTATTTTATAAAGTTTTTTTCGAATTGTGTGTGATTGTTTGTGTAGTGAAGTGATAATAAGGTTTAATTTGGATTCGTTGTTTTAGTCAAAAAATTCATCCAGTGTTATATTTTATTTTTTAATATGCAATATTTCCGATTAAAATTCAATTCACACAGTGATGGACCTTTTCATAAAAAAAAAAACAAATAATAATAAAACAATACTTGACACGTGACATATTTCATTCTAAATTTAAAATAGAATTCCAATTAAAAAACAAATGAGCGCGTAATTCTATGCGACCTTATTGCAAACAAAAATCAATATTTTTTCTAAGGCTTCCCATTTACGTTTTATTTTACAATTTTACAAGATTTGCTTAAACAACAGATATTTAAATAAGTAATTAAGTGTCTACACATGTACCTAGATACCGTTCCTTCGTTCTACTCAGTAGAGCAAACAAAACATTGCGTTTTGTTTGGTCAAATCGTTTCTTGCGATATTTTATTGCGTGAGTCTTCCAATTCGAGCCACACGTGTGAATTTTCTCGGTCTGTTAAATTCTAACGTGTTCATCAAATGGTTTAGTATATAAACTTTTATAAGTTATGTGTATTTAAAGCGGATGCGTCAAGGTATACTAAGCGGGCAGTTATTAATTCCTTTACTTGGTCCTGTCAACGGCTGGGTCCGTGTTCTCGTAAGATATAAGTACCATATATGCTATTCCAGACCATAGTCTACCACCGTCCAAAATTTCATCCCGATCTCTTTAGCCGTTTTGACGTAATTGAATACCAAACGTACACACAAGCTTTAGCATTTGTAGAGGTAGTATTAGAAGCTGTACTAAAGAGATGAAAAATTTTATAAACAACCTCTTTCTTTTTGATCTCAGTTCATAAAGTGACCGTGACAAATAAGGCTCTGTGAAAGACTACTAAAGTGATTTTTAAATTAATTTTAACAAAATAACTGTGAACGACATTTTTTCTATCAATGTCTAATCGGTTTACTGTTAACCATACCATCTTTTTGTACCTCATTATCTATTGAAAGTTGGTTAAATAATTTATAATCCGTAGTGACGGCTAAACTCTTACATTAAACAAAGTGACTGGCATTTATCTTTACGATCTCGTAACAGTGATAGTAACTGCTAATGTTTATTATAATAACTATTGCACAATGCTAAACAATAATAATCATTTATCAAGCAGGTAAACATAATGTCAAAGACAGATTTCGAGAGTTTTTGTTTCTATGTTCATATAAAATTTTCGTTTATCATTATTAGGTTATTCTCATCAACGGCTAAGCGCAGTTTGTTTTAATAGCATACTACAGAGTGCAATATTCAGTTATACGTTACCCTTTACTCATTCGTATAATGTCTCTTGAATGTAGACTACTTCCAATAAACCATTGGAAAGGTCTCGACAACCCTTACAATGCTTCAACATCAGCATGAACAGTCCTCAGAATTATCGTCTGTTTATCATAGTCTACTTCTGGACATATCCCTCTTCTAATGCGTACTACTACAACACAGAAACTTCTGCCTTCAGCATGCAGCTACTTCCAGCCATCTTTTAAGGGTCATCACCAGTCTTTACTATGTCGATATAATATTTTCGCGCCATTTGTCCCTATAGTTGACAATACGCTTATTACAAAATGTTCTATTGAATTTCTATTTATCTACTACAAATTTACATCTACTCTACAATTATTCAAAACAGAGAAAGCGTTATACCTACCATGATAAGTGTATAACTGCGTCCATTTTTCGCCAAAACGTTTCTACTGAGTGACCACACAATAGGTTTAGAGGAGGAGGGAAAGGAACCACACTTGAATGCCCACTAACAATAGTCCAGTTAGAAGAGTTAATTAGTCAACTATACAATAGTGTAGATACGGTGGTACCGTACTGATTAAGTGCCGTGAAGGTAGATTTTAGCAAGATTTGGAAATATCTGACCTTCTTCAAGATAGTATTAAAGACGAAAAACAAAGTTAGTAAAGACTGCATTTTTTGTATGCGTGCATTCCACGTGGAGGACTAAGGGGGAGGTCTTTATCCAGTAGTGGACGTCCCACAAATCGCCATCATTATCTTCAGGAAGATGTCTACTTCAGACCAAAGGCCGCCCTTTAGAAAAACAAAAATGAACTGGCTAATTCACTTCTTTCTACCGAACACATCTTAATGAAAACTTAATTTAGAGTTGAATGAAGAATCTGTTGCAACAAATAGTTCAGGAATAATCATTTACTCAACATCACTCAAGTTTTGAAATAAATCTCCCTAAACATAAGTAGGCGTTGCAGTAAAATTGCAAATGCAGTGATTCATAGAAGTCTACTAGCTAATGGATAACAATGCGATAGTAAACGACTGCTTCCCTTCACTGGGTAAATAATTGATTTGGATACTCAACTTGACTTGCAAGCTTTAGCTTTGGAGCTATTAAGTTAAATATCTTGTTTCTAACAGTGTTGTAAACACAGATAGCACTAACATTTTCTAACGTTTTCATTAAACCTACCCAAAAAAATTAAATCAATGAATCGACAGTTCTATAAAGTTACTATAGACACATATATTAATGTATAAAAATGAAACAACATACCTTCACGAATACATGAGCCCTACAAGCAATCTGTTAAGCCCTACAAATCGGGACATCCTGCATCCATAGAAAAGTTGGAGCCAACTCCATATTTAGGCATGTCAAGTCTAGTGGCAGTACGCCAAAGACAGCTATCCGTCTTACTAATATAAAGTTATGACGTTGAAACCAGACGTCTGAGCTAAAGCTCGAGGGCGGAGAACAGTAAAATCGTTCTGACGAAGTTACTAAACTAAGTGGTCTCTCAATTCTAATTATAGTTTACATATTGTTTAAATAGCCTGTTTCTGATATCTTCCTTCACTATATGATACAATTAATATTTTTTTATTCATTAAAAATTGCCTACAAATTAAAAATTCTAATACATTTGAGATCGAAAGTAACAATTAATATATTTGCCACGTAATCATGGTTCATCAAATATTTAATACCTATTTATTACGGTCTTTTTATTGGCTCATACAGCCTTACGTAATAATATTAAGACTTATTGTAACGTGTGACTATAAAATGACAAGTGTACTTCAAATATGTACTGTAGAGAAAGCTGCTGTAACCTCTGAGTCACAGACAGACATAAAAGTATACCATTTATGTATACACGTCCATGGGCGTACCAGAGCTTTAATGGTAGACTGCCTGCCTGCAAGCCTTTTCGACGTGACTCATGTTTAGTGAATTGTTTAAAAAATCGACGTTTTTGGAATTTCCAATGTAACATTCCTTTGGAATGGTGCAATGAGTCCTCATGACGATTTACCTGTCTTTACCATTCGATGAACATACCCAGATTATCAAAATTTTCTCAAAAATGTTAAGCAAAATGTTTCATTTGCACTATCACCTCGACAGAAATGCATACAAGAATTGGCAATTTTCAGTTTACGAAAGAATAACTTGATAAACAGTCTATTGTTCACAAAGAACTAAAAAATGTATTCTATCTGAATCTAGATACTGAATTCGATAAATCATAGAACAAAACAGATTCTGCAAGTGATAACAATACTTTAGACGATGTTACGACAGCAATATTAGTTATAGACCTGTCCACAGATGGTGTTAGCTTCAATCATAGTCCCTATACCATTGTTGTAAAGTTCAAAGTTGCTATAGATGATGATTTGCATATCGCTGACACTATATGCTAATGGGTTATCACTCTGACTATTGAAATATTAAAACATGTATGTCGTGTGTCGAGAGGTACCTGCTTAGAAATGCTAATAGCTGTACTGTGAGAAATGAAAATGCTTATTCATTTTACGTTGCATGACATGACAGGCCAAAGGGCTGGCAGAAGTTTATTTGAAAGTCTTGAGCTCTGAATGAAACAGTTATTTCGACAATAACTAATATGGACTCAAGTCCAATTCAATAGCAGTCACAAACTATTGAAGATTTTAACTTAGACGAGCTGTGTAAAATTATGGCTATTTCAATATCTATTGCTGTGCTATATAGAGGTACAATTGCAATGGTAAAGGCGATTTGCATCTACTTTTCACAACAGACAACGCACTAGTAGGTGACACAATTTACATTCCCATATAACCACATAAAATAAAGGTGCGAACAATACATATAGAAACACTATAACACATGGGAAGTATAGTGAAGTATTTCCCATAGGCAACTATAACAAAAGATTATGAAACTTGAAAGTATGCCAACGGTGTACATGCAAACGCATTTGGCGAACCCAGAGTCCTACGCAAGACAATACTACCAAGTTTATTTTACTTGTCTTGTCGTAAATAAAATTAGGTGATGCCATTTTGGTCAAAACACAACGGTTCTCAAACTTGGACTGCAAATAAAGAGCTCTTTAATTTAGACAACATGTCTGTTGATATCTCTTGCTAAAGTAACAACATGTACTTCATGTAGATGGTGTTACTTTTTGAGATTAAGAAATTGACCTTAATTTTTCTGTTATACATTCTCAAGATACAAGATTTTGACACAATGAACTTGTCTTTTTAGATGTGGAGCGATATGTTGAACTGGTTAGGTATCTTGCAAGGCATCGTGCTCAATTTCTATCTCTTAATTAACTTTATAAGAAAAGGCTAAGGAGATAATGATATTACTTTTTTTGTTAATGGTTATCACAAAAAAAAATTACAAGCTTTTTCAAATTGGCACCTCTTGAAATTATCAAGCATGGCTTAAACATTTTATTGCAGTGCCCATGTTGAGCATCTCAGTTTAAGTCCAAATATTTAATTTGATTTATTGTTAATTTGGAGTCATGTTACCTTAGCAGATCAAATTATCTAATACAAATTGAATTAAAGCACCGTTGAGTTGCATGTCTTGGGAAATAACTTCCGATTAACAGTTTCTCTTTCTGATATTACATAAAAATAAGTAGGAAGTCAATAATTGATGAACGTTATAATCATTCATTTACGTTATATTCTTCTCTTATTACAAACGTCTTTATACGATAGCTGAATTACGCTTAGAGCCGCGCTGTTAGAAAACCATAATGTCCGCCTGTGGACGTATTGATAAGACAAGGTAGTAGCATAATTATGACACTATGCAGTAACTAAGCATGACTTCATTCCCTCAAAAAATGTTTGATCCAGCATACAATTAATTGCATCGAAGGCTCGTTAGCATGTTACTTAATCTTACCGATTAAAATACGCAACAACATTGTTTCTCTGTTGTTAATGTGATAATTACGTTAATTGCTGATAATTCGTCATTCTCAGACGAAATCCTGCAATGTAATTACTCATATTTGTCAGTAATAATTGCACTCGATTCCTGTTTCATTTTGAAAGCTGTCGACTGTGAAGTATTTATTGATGTTTATTCCAACGTGTAGTTAAAGAAACCGTTTCATATACGCAACGATAGATTATGTATTAACGATAGATTTTGTAGGTTCATTTGTTGTAGGAATTAATAAACACGTGTCAATTGGAAGCCTTAGAAAAAACCTTATTAACACAATTTACTCTAAAGGTCCAATTAAAATATTTCTATCAAAATGTACGAGGTGCTTATAAACGCTTATGCAAAAACAAATAAGTGTTTAACAATGTAATGGCAAGCAGAATTGTTAAGAAAGTGAAGCGCGGTAAAAAGGAATCAAATTCTAAAGATCACATTCCCAAGATAGTGGTCACTCCACCAGATAATCGAGACATGAAAGTCCAAGCCAAGAGATCAGATAATGCTAAAGATAATGTTAGAGAATCCGCTGAAGCCTCGACCTCGCAAGTAATGACCAACAAAATGGCTGGATTCAACGTCAATCAATTGATAGCCGAGCTGTCCGAGAACTCGAAAGCGTCGAGAACCGAGATAGAAACGATACAGAGGCGACTACTGCAGCAGGCGAATGAAATATTGAAAGTAAACGCTTTTGCTAATCCACCCAACATAGATAACTCGCAAAAGTACACAAACAAACCAGTTTATGGCAGAATACCGATTGCGATACCGAGAAATCCTAACGCAGTAGTAAACGACGTTGCTAATCAAGTGGATCTGAAGGAATCGCGGGTGAACACGAGCGTGGCGGTTGAGAATGAGCGTAGAATCGAGCTGCAAGAAGCGCAGCTTGTTCCGGAGAGGTTGCGAGACATTCCGGGGGATCGTGCCGGTGCAGTGATGAATAGTGAACAGGGGAATATGCAAAGGGTCGCTATGATGGCGGCGGAGGCGGGAAGGAGCGCTTTTTTCTACGAAACGGGTTCTGTAGCCGGCCGCCTGCCGCGCTTGGCCGCCAGTGCGCGCGCGCCTCTGACAGGTGAATGTCTTGTTCCTACATTTTGTATTCAGTTTTAAGCAAAAACCTTGTTATTTGTACTCAAAGTTGAAACTTTAAGTGAACATTTTGTTTGGTTTCTTATAAGATTTGTTATTGTGTTGTCGTGTGAATGGTTCGCGGTTGAATCGATGCCGTTGACTTGAGCATTGTGTGTAACCGTTATATTTCATCAAGTGGTTCATTGTGCACTTCGGACGGTCCGGTATGTGTCCTTGCTTTATACACTAGATATGAACGTATGTGGAGAGCTAAATGGCGGGATCGACACTTGCAACAATAAAGCTATCGAGTACCTAAAAAATACAAAATATTTAAAGCTTGCGACTATTGCTTTAACAGATTCTTAACTGTAAGTGTTACTTTGTTTCAAAGAGTGAAGCTTTACCTGAAAATGTATGAGACAGAAAGCTGCGCTATTAAGCTATGAGAAACAGGTTATAGAAATAGTTTTATGTTTGTTTGGAAACAGAATTGAGAGGTGACAACATTTTCTTGTGTAGTACTTGAATTATCACCAAAAGGATGATAACGAAGCTTATGATGATGATAATCAATGATAAGACTCAATAACACTTATTTCAATTTTTTTAAAGCTGGTTAGAAAACGTGCTGTGAACCAGATAGAACACTTGTGACAAATTCTGTTCGAAACTTTCGTGCAATAACCACTTACTTTACTTGGTAGTAATGTGCGAGATTCATAAAAACTTTCATTTGGAGAAATTGTAAACGTTGATCGATCTCCGAAAGATAATTTACGATATATCTTATATTTTAAATTAATCTTCTACCGATGAAACTTTCCAAATAATTGCAATCTTTCTCACATCCTCATTCCTACAACGGACGGTCTGATTCTGTGATTCTGTTTCTTTTCAGTTAAACATTCTTACAAATTACTATGTCTTTATTGTCAATGTATGGTTTATTACATGTGTTTGGAGCCATGGATTTGTTGTCAAATTAAATTCTATTTTCAAAATAAAGACATTCTTCCAGGTTAATATCGCTATCGCTATATAAAATATATAAATGTCTTCTTTTAACCTTCTATATTGTCGCGGAGAACCTAACGGGTAACCGGGTCTCCGGCTCGACGTGCAGGAGAAGGAACGGGGTGGTTTTTAGTCAGTAATAGTCTGACACTCCCTCCCACCTCACCCAGGCGGGAGCATTCATTCGATGATTATCCCCACTTAAAAAAAAACAACCTTCTATATTAGAGCCCATGACATCTCTTTCTTTCATTTTATCACACAATCGATTGCTATCATATTAATCCATCAATTGTCCACCTATAAGCACTCACATTGTCTGAATCTAGACCATGAGTAGGCAAAACGATATTCCTACATCCTAGTAAAACAATTAATTGGTCACTAAACTACAGTTTGTATACTTAAAATTCACGTCACGATGAACGTGCGAACGAATCTATATCAGGTCCTGGAACATCCTTGTCCATTTATCTTTTATTATTACTTAGATACTTACTGTTAAACACTTCTATATGGACTCGCAGTTCTTGGAAAATAGAAGCTTTACTTTGTAAGCGAGTAACTGTACAACTTTGATTGGTTTCTTTTACTGGATTATGAAATAAATTGGAGGGAGTTTAGGATTAACTTCAAAATGAAAAAGGTTATTTAGAGATTGGTAAACGTTGATTAATTGATAGAGGTATGCCAGTATCATGTCAGTTGGCAGTATGCTGTCTCTAACTACCTCAACACAGGGCGATAAGTACGTACTTCACGAGTATTCATAGAGTTTGGTAATGAGATACTACCATACAACAAATTCGCCAAATTCTACTAAACTTGAACTCTGAAGTGTTACTAAAATAACTCTTACCGCAAACAAACAATGTCTATGTCTAAAAGAAGAAAGTAACTAGTTGCCAACTGGCAGTACCTATTATTAAGAACCTTATTTAATAATAAAACAACACCACTTGATGCTTCCTAATCCTTTCCATCATTTTACCACAACACAATCGGCGAAGCGTCACCGATTCATGTTGTATGGTCTACACTTGCATGAAAGGCATCGCCTCAAGCCTTCTTGTGCGAACTGCTAAATGAGTGGAATCCTTTGCCAGAGTCTGTGTTTCCTGAAGAGTATCGTCCAGGGTGTCGTCAAGGCTCGAGTGAATAGGTTACCTAGGGGCAGACGAGCACAATCGCAGGCCACATCATCGCTTACGACCAGGTGACATAGTGGCCAAACGTTGGCTCATTTAATATAAAAAAAGTTATACTTTTAGGGCTTATAATGATCATTAAGAAAGTGATAAATACCTATATCAGTGACTACTTATACTGCATTAGAAAATGAAGTGCATACAATAACAGACATGAACATAACATGAGAAACAAACAACAATGTAGACAATTCCTTCATCAAAAGAAATCCATAAAAAGGTCTCAAGCTATAACCAGAACTCAATTAAGAACCTCTACTAAACCCAAGAATGAATTAAAGCCGTAAAGACGATTATATCGTTATTTAAAATCATCCGAAGGAAAACCGCCAACCGAGACGGCACGCAAGTCTATGGAAATTACTATTATAATAATATGCACTGCACATCATCAACACCCTATAAGAGGGCACTGCTGAACAAATGCCTCTTCTCACAAGGAGAAGGTTTGAGCATTAATCACCACGCTTGTTCAATGCGCGTTGGCGATTTCAAACTTATAATTAGAAATTATAAGCCCAGGTTTCCTCAAAATGTCTTCCTTGACCGTTTATTAGTGGTGTCTAGATAATCTTAAAATATGCATATAACTAGGAAAATGTCACATTGGTACTTGCCATTAGTGTGTATTCACATCATAGGAGATTGTTTTGTTGTACTGCCTCGTTGGCCGAGTGGTTGCAAGTACTACTGCCGGGCAAGGGGTCTCGGGTTCGATTCGATTGGGCAAAGTAATACTGGGTTTTTTTTAATTCTGAGTCTAGAATTTTGCCCGGTATATGGCAATAGGCTCACCCCCTATTACATGGGACTCATAACATAAATAGTGAAAAGTGGGTGTTACATTTTACAGTGGCATAATGTACACCTCTGTCTACCCCTAAAAGGTGTGATGTTATGTTATGTTAACTTTTGTTATAAAAATAAGGTTAGATAACATAATAAGTGCTAATAAAAACCTTAATGACCGTTTTACCAACAACCCTTAAACCTTCTCTTAACAAAAAGTTAGAGAGAGAAGGCACCTTAACTAACGCCTAACTTGAACTGTTAGGTGTCACTTATATATATACATAGGTTGACGAAAACCAAAATAACATGAAATGTCACCTATCTTAGATTAGCGGTTCCTTTCTTTCTAAGTTTTGTCACAATATGACTCGTGATCTCGAAATTTGAACCTTTTTTACGCCTTGGTGTCGTTTCCGGGCCTTGGATACTGATCATTTTATATTTTACTAGCGACCCGCCCCGGCTTCGCACGGGTGCAATATGCATGTATTATACATACAAACCTTCCTTAAGAATCACTCTATCTATTAAAAAAAACCGCATCAAAATCCGTTGCGTAGTTTTAAAGATCTAAGCATACATACGGACATACAGCGAAAGCGACTTTGTTTTATACTATGTATTGAAACAACCAAAATATCTGATAGTATAATGAAAGATGATATGCTTTAGAATTTCGTAGTTAGTTATTAGATTAAAGCAAAATATATAACATAACATAATATCACGCCTTTTATCCCCGAAGAGGTAGGCAGAGGTGCACATTATACCACTGTACAATTTAACACCCACTTTTCACTATTTATGTTATGAGTCCCATGTAATAGGGGGTGAGCCTATTGCCATATACCGGGCACAATTCCAGACTCACTGCTACTACTGAGAATTTTTAAAACACCCAGTAATGCTTTTACTGGTTGGGGACTCGAACCCGAGAGCTCTTTCCTGGCAATCGCACTTGCGGCCACTCGGCCAACGAGGCAGTCACATTTGAATAAAGTATATGTTATTTTTGACAAGCGCAATAATAATTAAGTATGTAGATATAATATCTGCAATTTCGGGTACCTACGTATGGAAATCTATGTGGTTTGTAGATAATATTAGAAATTAACGATTTCGTCTGCATTCCAATAGCACAAAAGTATTTTAAAAATTATAGGCTAATCGCAGTAACGATCTAGGAACTGGATCCTATCGTCTACAATCATTGGAGGTTAAGGCACCTATAAGACTTTATTAATATCTCTATTACGTAAAAACAATAACTACACAAAAAAAAATTACGATGCCAACTTAAGTCTACATTTTATATCTACATGTTTGACCTTAAAAAATGCAGCAAAATCATTTCGCCTCATCCGTTAAACTCAACTATTTTTAACTAAAATTACAATTATCTAAATAGTAAGTTATATCCTAACTAAAAATCGCGGGTAACTCACGTGATTATACTGAGAAAAGTTCTACTAGTTTCGAGCCACTGAGGGGCGGTGATATCGCGGCGATGTCGCGCAGCCTTGAAACTAGTCGAGTTCCTAATCAAATAATTACGTGAGTAAACCGAAAAACGAAAAGAATAAATATATATATTTAACTTTCTTCTTTGATATTGCTACGGACCCTTACAATATGTATGTACACAGACTATTAATTCTAATTAAAATTATTCAGCTTCTAATGACGAGCTAACGTTTATGTTGTTTTAAAGATGTTATCCAGATACGATTAAATTATTATTGACCGGAAACTTTGCATCATAACACCGTTTTAATTGCACAGAATGCTGTCGGTATCCATTTATAGTATTATAATTAATACTTTAGTTCTAAGTATACTTATAGGTGGTATATGTATATACCTAGTGGTATATTTCTCAAATGTGAGGTATTTTTAACAAATTTAGAACAACTTTGTGAACTGAGCATATCTAAATCGTAGACCGCATCATCGCTTATTCGGCCCATATATTATAAAAAGTATA